CGATCCCTGTTGCGTAGCGGCAAACACTAGTAGGAGCGACAAAACATTCGCAAAACAAAAGATAACACATGCAAAATGATGAAAAATATCTAACAGAGTGTTCTCACAACGGGTCCTAGTTTAGCAAGTCCAAAATCCGACAGCCTGGCATTGAAGTCATTGTCCAACAATATGTTTGAAGATTTCAGATCACGATAAATGACTGGTGGATTTGCTTTGCAGTGAAGATATTGAAGGCCATGAGCTGCATCTACAGCAATCTTCAGCCTTGTGCTCCAACTTAATGGCTTCTGACCAGGTTCTAAATCTGATGACAAAATAAAACATGCATTTTACGGAGCATATGTTTTACAAAATTATGATAATGCTTATATCTAAAAGACAACTCACATTAAAAAGAATAAAAATTACATTATATGACTTTCTTGATTCACAATTTGTGTTTTTCCTCATATGTAGGTTTTTATTTCCTGAGCAGGGCACAAGTTTTCCAACAGCAGCATATAGAATAGAACAGGCTTAAATCATTCAGCAACTTCTTTTTATGCCAAGTCCAGAAATTCAAATCAGTGGCCTGGCCGAAACATTGACTGAAAATTAATAGCCACATGATTAACCCCACAAACAGAGTTGTTAAATCTGGTATATCCTCTAAAGGGTCATGTTGCCAAATGAAGCAATAAAGTGGTGGGAATATTTTTATTGTAGCACTTTAGTAACGTGCAACTCATGCCAGGAAAAGAAAATACAATCACAAGTTGTCGTAAGAACAGATTTAACTGGAGCACTACATGAGAAGAGTGAAAAACCAACAAAGAGAATTTGGAATCCAAAAGGGATGCACAAAAGTAATCAAGGATTACCGAAAAGATGATACTCCAGGCTCCCCACTGGCATGTACTCATACACCAAAAGTCTCTGGTCTCCATGAGCACAATATCCAATCAAGTTAACAAGGTTGGGATGGTGCAGTAGACTTAACATCAAAACCTCCACGATAAATTCTTGATTCCCCTGAAGGCCTTCGAGATTAAGTTGTTTGACAGCAACAACCTATCGTGAATATCAAACGATCAGCAGTTATTGAAGAGTAATCACATCAGTACAAGCTAAATTCCAAACTTCCCACTATTGAACTCCAAATTTTGATTTGACGATTCATTTTAACACCATGATTCTTTTAATGTTTCTAATTGACAAACAGGGAAGTTTCATTGTTTTGAATGCATATATTAATACAAATTAGAAAGTTATATTGTAAAACAGAACTCGCCATGTCAGAATCTAGGCAGCCCTTGTAAACACTTCCAAAACCGCCTTCCCCAATTAAATTGGATTCTCTAAAATTTTGGGTCGCCATTGCAAGTTCCTTGAATGTGAAGGTACGAGCCACGTTGCTCTGTTTGCCATTGTTATCTGTGCCTCTTGCTCCCACAGAATTTCCCTTTGTCCCAGTCTCTACAAATTGATTCAACAAAGATTCAAAATGCCACATAACAATTTCATCATATGTCAAACTTTTAAGCTATTTAATTGTCACTAAAATTTGCCTTTCCATAATTTCCATCGCGCCAACTGCATATCCAAGCACGAATTGATAGTAACAAAACAAACATAAATATACATAAAATAATTAAGCACATTGTAGAAGAACAATTATTCAAAAACTAATTCTGTACAAAGAAATAAACTGAGAGAGAGAGAAATGAACCTGAAGAACCAATGGATTTAGGGGTCATATCTTCATCGTAATCCCTCTCATTCTTAAGTCGAGGGGTCATGCAAGAAAAGCAACTCATCTCCTTTTACTCTTTTCTTGATATCTTTAAATTTTATTCCCCAACAAAATTGAACCCTCAAATTACAGAAGAATTGACAGAGAGAAAACCCCAGCAAAAACGCCTCAATTATACAAATGAAATCACAAAATTATGAAATAAATCAAGCCAGCATTTAAAAAAAAAAGCATAAGAAAATAACAAATAGGAGAGAGAACAATTACATATTCTCTCCCCTTATGAGACAGACAAAGCCTTAACCCTAACCNCCCCCCCCCCCCCCCCCCAGCCCTATAAGAACAAATTCACCACTTTCAAATACCTATAAGAAAACAAAAACCACCACGAAAACTCAGAACAAAAGACAATCAAAGAATTTATGCATAATTTACAAAACTAAAAAAATGTATTTACATATGCATCCAAAGATGGAAATTCAACAAACAAATATCAAACAAAAGCCCTCAATGTCAGGTGGGTTTTTTCCATAACACTCGAATAAATAAACAGTCAGTTTTTCCCTATTTTTAGTTCAACATTTTCTTACAGTCACCTTTTTTAGCGCCACCTTTAACGGCAATTACTTGTAACCTTCTCTCTTGCTTGGAATTCTTCTGCAATAACAAAAATTTAGCTATATTTTCTGTGTGGAGGACTGCATGTAGTGTGGGACGGGGAAGAAAGGCAATTAAAGCACTTAGATTATCGTTGCTGCCGCCGGTGGTCATTTTTAATCCCAGATTGAAATTTAAACTTCTTGGTGAGCAGGGACTTGTTAGATTACATCTTTGCCTCGATATCTCGAATATTACAACTATAAAATTGTGTGTTTCATTCACATTATTTTGGAAGAATGTATTTTGGAACAATTGATTGACAGAGAATGTCTGGTTGAAAAAGAAGGAAAAATTAGTGATGTAATGAAAAATATTATTTTATTGTAAAGTGTGTGGTTGAAAATGAATAGAAAAACGAGAATGAAGATTTTAATGTGGTTCAAACATGGCTTCATTAAGTTGTTTGAGTTAAACTGAATAATTCTGTCTAAGAGCATGTCTTCCAAAGTTAAAATTCGATCAAGAATGTGAGTTATTGCAATCTTAAATTACGGTTGTAACAACTTAAATAATTGTTTATCAAAAGATGATATGGCAAAATTTAATTTGGGCAAAATTTTATCAATCAAATTACTTCTCTAAATTTTGACATCTCATCATTATATAAAATATTATGTAAATAGTTATGTAAAAACATTTTACCTTAAATTATACTCTGAAAATATTATATCTATGCATTTCGAATCAGTCGGTCCATTTTAACACTAATATCAACCTTCTTTTCACCTTAGCATTGTCTTAACATTAACCCGTCTTATTTTGCTATAAATCAGATTATTAGTAAATTTTGATAAAATTTCATAAATCGGGTGATTATAATTAATTGTTAACTTTAATTTAAATTTTTATCAATTTTTTTAACTAATTCCCTTCGAAGTCCATAGAAAAACATTAAAATCATTTTTTACTTGTTAAAAATATTAAGCCTCTGTTTGATATTGATTAAAATTCAAATTTTAATCGAAGTTGAAGTCAACAATCAATTTTAACCACATATTTCATGAATCCTACAGCTTTTAAATCATACATTCCATCAACTTCCGTCAAAATCTATTAAAAATTTGATTTTAATCCCCACCAAATAAGGGCTAAAACGTAGTTCAATAATGGATACTCGAATAAGGATCAAAGTGGAAATTTAAATATTTATAAAATCCTTTTTCCCACTATTATAAAACAAGAGTAATTTACAAAATAATACATTAAAAAAGGCAAGTAAAAACCCAATAATTGGAGTTGAAAGGGACAATAGAAAATATAAACTCTTACAACATTTTAACATCATAAATAGATAAATAGTTTTTGTCTCATTAATCAGAAGTTTAAATGTTAAAGAGTAAAAATTCTTTTAGAATTTGGGACTTTGGACTAAAAAATTAGATACATCATCTATACATGCTGTCTCCTACACTATCGACCCGCAGCCCCAAATAGTATACACCCATTCTGCCAATACCAAGGAGGAGCTGCAGCCATTGAAAATCAATACTCAAAGCTGTAAAGCCAAATCTGGTTGATGGGGTGAACCCATCTGTAAGCTAGAACTCGGCGAACCTCCCTGAACTCTTACATTCAGGTCAGGTGGAATCGGAAGGGGGGGTCTTTGTTGCATTGACAATGTTTGCCAAGACGACGTGCTAGAGTTCCTGGCATTGGGTTCAGCTTTAGAGTTAAGGACATATCCAGGTTGTAATGTACTCCAATTTTCGGGCAACTTGGCTTCCTCGAGAACAACATTATTTGAAGCTGATGGCTGAGTCATTGATACATTGTTTCGGGATACCATTTCAAGTGTATGAGAGGATCCTGGGACATCGTCCCTCCCAGACTGTCCAGGTATGGATCCTCTTGAAGTCCCAGATAAATCATATCCAAACAAACCACTAAAACCATTTCTCTGTCCCTGATCAATAGATTTCCACGGAGCCTGGAACTGTTTTCTCAAAGAAACTTCACCCGTTGCAGATACCTCATTCTTGCTGTCCAGTTTCTTAACGGCTTCCACCATTTCTTCACTAGGCATGTATGCAACTGCAGATTTTAAATCAGAATTCGACGACATCAACATTCTGCTTGAATGGCAATCACCTGCTGGGTTAGTCAACATTTTTTGCTGGTTAGTTGAAAAAGACAATGGCTGTGAAGGTGCTTCATATTGTCCCACCCACCCAGGACCAAATTTTACTCCGGCAGGTAACACAGACTCTATTTTTTTCGAAGCAACTTTCCAGGCTACAGGCCCAAGATTTGCAGCAAACCTAGCCAGGCTTCGGGCATAAGCAAGTGGCTCAAAGTGAAGACCAACCTGTAAGTTCAAAAAGTCAGTTGCGACAAAAAGTTCATCACAGAAACAGTAATAGCTGGGGGGACACCAAAAGGGAAGCAATAACACTAGCACTGAAAGAAGGTTTATCAAATACATACTGGCATCAACCGCTTCATATCTCCAACAGAATTAGAGAAAACAGATGGCTCATTGTCAGAAGTCAGAGGATGAAATTGCCTGTAGGTGTCACGCCTGTTCTCATCAATTGTAAACTGTTTCTTTCCATATTTCATATCAGCCTTTAGAATGGATGCTGTAAAATAGAATAAAAAAGGATCATCTCCACCATAAAAATCAGAAAACACGGAGCTCAGGTCAGTAGCACAAGCTCTGTAAGTACGTACCTGGAAATTCATCATTCCAATCAACCAACCACTCTGAGTAATTTTCACCTCTTGGGCGGTAGGATGACACAAATGGATCTGTAGATCGAAACTTGTAAAACATAGGCCCCTTTCTTAGATTGTAAGAATTAGACCCTGTTCCTTTATCTTCTCCACTAGCAAGAGTTGCACCTGAGGACATCTCAGGACCAACATGATCCACAGGGGAAGTTTCAACGGACTTCTTCTGGTTCTTACTCGGGGGCCTCCCTCTCCGCACAATCTTAGGTTGTGGTTCACCATCATCACCTTCCTGCTTCAGATTTTCAAAGTCTCTCTTTGCAAGCTCGCGTATAGCCCTTGCCTAGAATAATGCACTATTAGATAGCAAGCAGGACATAATATAAATAGAGCATAAGATGATGTGGACAAACCTGGCGAAAGTAGATCGTATCTGGAGCATTGTACTGCATTGCATTTGAACATATCAAAAGCACATCGGCCTGAAAACACAGTGGCGGGACAGGTCAGCATTTATTCTATATCAGTATTTCATGACATCAAGATTGACAAAATAGACAAGAAAGTCATAAACAGAAAATGCATCAAATGAATGTCCAAGGGTACAATAGAGATCTGAAACGAAACAAAAATTAGGAATTTGCCTTGTACAATCTGAATTTCATCCAGGACAGCTAATAGTATGGGATTATTCGTGCAAGAATGCATTATATAGATAACTACTAAAATAATCTAAAGGGTGAAGAAAGTCACAAACTGAATTAAGATGAATCCAAAGTATACAGCATTTTCTGGTACACTAAATGGACATCACCGTGAAGTAACACAAGCACATGCTGTGGATATCCATCCTAATGAAAACATTCATATTCTTGGCCTCTATCTTATTGGTACGTACATATTGTTCTAATTTCTAAACATTTCCGAGAGGGGATATGGAGCAGAGATATTTCGGGATATCACAGATGGTTTCCAGTAACTATAGGCTGTACTTTTCCTTCCAACTTTTTATCCTACCATAAGTGGCTAAAGAGCTAAAAACATAGCAAACAAACAGGCTATCATTAACGGCTAGTGCATGCACATCGGTGCAAGTCAGAAGCAATGCAAATAATCACACTCAACCACTAACCCCATCTAATTCAAGAAAAGCATAAAAAATATCTCCATCTTCTTCAACCAAGAAGAAATGATTCTTTTGTCATTGAACCAAACAGATTCAAGAGATTCATATCGATGTTGTAGGAAAAAAGAAAGCTCGGAAAATAATAATGATGATGATGATGATGATGATGATGATGATGAGGATGAAGATCAAAAAATCACAGAAGATGAGTAAAGATAAAATTAGCATGGTAAACCATATTGGAAGAAAGAAGTAAAACTACTAGGTTCACGTAAAAGTAGATTAATCAATGAAAGAAGAGAGTGCTATGCTAATTCTACAATCGAATGTCCAGTGCTGACAAGCATACGATCCCACATCTCAGGAGAATTTTCCTGATAGAATATGCAATCATCTTCATTACCAAAGAAAATTCAGAAAAAGTGATAAATCTACATAACAAAAACAAAAATTCTAAGCGCAGGCAATCCAATACCAACCTCCAATTCTTCCAAGTTCTTATACGCTCCACCATCAAGCTTTTTCCTCACGGTCCCAAAATCCATAGGGTGCTTTATTATCTCATGATAATCAGGTAGCTGCAGAGAAACAATTAAACTCTAAATCAATAATTAAAACAATAATAAAATTCTGTCAGAAATCAGCATGTCATTTCCAGAAAAGTACCTCATCGGGATCCACTGGCTCAGAGAATACCCCATGAGTGTCCTTCCTGCATTTATATTTCAAGATACCAATAATGATAAGCCATCAAAATATCAAAATTGAACAGTGCTCAAGAAACATCGATTTCTAGAAAGCTAAAAGAGAAAACAAAAAACACGTACTTTTGAAGTCTGTCAAGAATGAACACCACCAACTTTTTGTCTGGCAAAGGTACCGTGGGACCAAACCCCTGAGGTGACCCTGTCCACAAAAATTAAATGAAATAGCTACAATTAGATTAGAACACAATACCAAACTTTACTTGAAATTTCCAACTAAATATTCTTTTCCGAGAATCGAGAAGAGTTTTGGTAAGAACCATGTTCAGTGTCTGTCGTTTTCAGAACCTTTTTCTCCTACAAAAAATGATCGAGAACCCATTTGTAAGAACGCAATAGTTATGCAAATAAATTAAGCAAGTTAAAGATAATCATCCCCAATAAAAAGTTACGGTAAAAAGGGTTGGCCAAAAGCAGTTAACTCAACAAGTACAAGCAAAGAATTATACAACTGACTATTGGCTAAAGAATAATAATCAAATCAAAGTAAAGACAAATCTCAGCAGTTTTCAAGAAACGAATGCTTTATAAACATAACAGTATATATTACATTCCATAGGTAGTCTACATAATTAAAGGAAACTATACAGAACAATTAATGATATATAATAAAATATAGTATGAAATATATGCATAAATTACAGGTATGGATGTACAGGAACTCGAAAAAGTAGAAGAATTTATATCAACGCAAAAATAGAAAAATATATAATTATTTATGGTTTAACAAACACACAAAGAAACTTGACTGAGTCAAAACACATGTTCCCAGTTCAGATCTTGGAAGTCAGAGCACCCAAAAACCCAACAAAAAAATTAATAAACGTTAATGTTTACGCGCGAAATCTCAAACCCCCTCCAATTCACATCTATGAAAAAGGGTAGAAAAGCCCCCAAAATTTGCCCAAAAAATTTAAAATGGCCCACCTCAAATTTTCCCAAAATAGAAAAATCATTTAGATACAAAATTTCAAAATCAGTACCAATAATTGTGTGCTTGACAGAAACCTCCATTTTTTCCTCAAAAAATAAAAATTAAACTCCCCATTTTAAATTCTCCGAAAAAAAAAAAAAAAACTAAATTACAAACCTGGTTGGAATTGGATACATCCTCGCTGGATCTGTGATCGACGGCATTGATCTTGCGTTTCATACCACACACCTCTTGATCCTCTCCTTCCTCGGCATCCGAGTCCTCTACCTCCTCCGAATCCGAATCTCGAGAATGCTGGCTCTGGCTCTGCTTCTGATTTATATCATAAACCGATTGAGGCAAGCGAACAACGAGCTTCACCTTCTTCTCCTGCCGCTCGTCATCGTCGTCGTCGAATTCCGGCTGCGGAGAATTGGAATTGTTGAAATTAGGGTTCCGGCGAGTGGATCGGCGGTTGGTGGTGGGGATAGGGGAGTAGTTACTTGGTTTTGTAGGAGTAATTAAGGGTTTTGCAGGGCGGCCCTTCCTCTTCTTCCTCTTCATCGCCGTTCCTGTTGCTACCTTACCCATTGCTTTGGGCTTTGAGGGTTTTTTTTTTCTTTTTTTTAATTCTCAATTTTTTGTATTTATTTTAGAGAGAGAGGGGGGGGATTCTAATCCGCATGACTGACGCTTTACGATGTCGTTTTTCTATGTATATACGAAGTTTTGTTTGGTTGTTGAGAAAGGACAAAACAAATGAGAAATTACCTTAAAAATAAAGAAGAAATGTATATAAAAAGAAAAAGGGTACACACAACATGGTTTTGAAAAAATTGAGATTGGTTGGATGTTAGTTAAACGAAAAGGTTAATATAAATGTGAATTGGCTACCAATATGAAAATAATAGTTCGAGGGAGTTGGTCCGAATACCCTCTAACATGTACTCAGCCTAATTTAAGCTCATCATTGATTCATTTAAAAATTATAGATCGTCTTTTAATTTTGAGAACTGGATAAGTCCACAAACTAACCAATATTACATATTCAACATGTTATTTTTTAATTTCAATTTTTTTAAAAAATTAATGAGATTTAAAATTGAGTTATATTGATATGTATGAGAATACACAGTTAAATTATTTGTGATACATAAAATAATTTACAAGTGGAAATGTCGGTAATTGTAGAAATTTTTAATAAATTGTATCAAGCAAATCCGTCTTAATGGGTTGTCGAGCACAAGAATCCAACTCGAAACTGACCAATACTTGAGTCATTCTAGTTCAACTTCGGTTTGAGGTTTTAGGTGGGCGTTCGTTAAATCGCAAAGACAACGCCCATTTGAGTCTCATTTTTAACTAAGAATACATTTTGAAACAATAGATTGGAAGAGAATATATAATTAAAAAATTTTAAAAATTAGTTGCATGTAATATTAATTTATTAAAGAATATATGATTAAAAATGTATTTTATAAATAATCAAGATCAAATAAGGTCGGGCTCTTTCTCTCATTTTTCACTCAATTTGTAATCTTTATATTCCAAATATGAAATATGCAGGATTCAAAACCTCTTATATGATTTTGTACAAATTGTTTTATGAATATGTTTTGACTTTACGTCATAGTTCATTAACAAGAATGCTAGATATACACCAAGTTTAAATCAAGCATGATATTTGATGTGTTGTTAAAAAATGATTAAAGAGAAAGTTGTTTAATTTTTGAGTGTACATTCGTTGCTCAACATTATTTTTCATATTCCCTTTATTTTCAAAAAATTATAGGCGGAATCTTTATTTTTTTTTTTAACTGTTCAATAACAATGTAAATAATAATATAACTATAGCATGGTAGTAGTTAGTATAAAGTTGGTAAGATAAAGTCGTACAACATATTAGCAGCCGAAACACATAAAGCCCATCATTTGTGAGTGGAAAATGGGTCCCAAGCCCTCCTAGTATGATAGAAGGAATTTCTGTGGAACTGAATTTAAGACTACTTGTAATGGATGAAAAAAAAAAACTAATGGGAGCATGATTAAGGCTGAAGAAAGATAATCCCACCTATTTGTAACATGATAAGCCCTTCTTTAATTCTCATACTTATTTTCAACAGAACTTTTTTCTACTCTTTAACAACACATTTTCCAAAAAATTACTATTCAAAATTCCATTTTCTTAAAATACTAACCATCAAACGAACTAAATCAAATAAAAGTTAATGTGTTTGATAGGAATTAAAATTAAATTTTCAATAGATTGTGATAAAAAATTTTGAAATATGTAATTAAAAAGTTGTGGAACCCATAAAAGATATTAATATTAATTGTTTGACTTTAACTTAACATTTTTTATCGATAGAAATAAAGCAAATGCAGTTGTAATAAGGTTAAACATATCCTGGCCATTCGAAGAACTCAAGACAAAAGATCATGAAGCAAACAGTGAATAGGAATAAGAAATAAAATTCTGAGAAAGAACTAGAAATAAAAATAAGCAACTAAAACAATAGCTAAGTCATTCGTTTAAAACTACCAGACTAAAAGCATTAGGTGCTCTACAAACGTTTAAAGAAACTACAATGTTAATATCTTCTTATAAACTACGACTTTATATCAATAAAGACATGTACTGCGGATGAGAAACAAAACGCCCCTTCTGTAATACTGCTTACTCATCGTCGTCATCCTATATTAATTAGGTCAAAAAAATAAATCAACATTTTAAGTTTGTAAGTATGATTTGAAGTCTTGAAAAAAAGTGAACAAGTATTACAAAGTCGAATTTAAAAACCCCAACTAACCTCTCCACTGCCTTCATCATCATCCTCATCATTAACCTCGGACTTTGACTTGTCGGACTCATCATCAGCACCTCCAGCCTATAAAAATAGTCCGGCACAAGTCATTTCCATATTGCAATCAATCTGAACAATGCATAACAATATGCTTCTCATAGATCGATTACCAATTTCTTGTTGTAGTCTGCCATTTTGTGCTCATATTCCTCCTTTCGCTTCTCTGCCTTTTCCACGAATGGAGCTTTTTCCTGATTTTCTCAGGTCAAGAAATTTCTTGAGAAGAAGAATAACAAATAAAGAATATCTTGGATTGAATATAATTACCTCATCACTCATTGACTTCC